AAGTTTCTAGCATCACACTGTAAAGTTGCATACTGGACCATGGACTCGACTTCCCTGGAAGTCATGCTGGTCCCGCTGGTAGGCCCGCCCCTTAAAATCTAGATTTTCAATGACACTCAGAAATTTTCCACTTTACACAGCAGATGAATGTGAAAACATCCTTTCTAATGTCAATACTCTCACATACAGCATTCAAGACAGCACGCTGTAGGAAACAGGAAGAGACACTGCTATTCTGACTGGACGGGGCTTTTTAAGTCAACTGTTGTCTCTTCAGTAAGAAATTAATGAGAAACGTTAAGCGTTAACATTTTGTGAATAGGCGTATATGCGTTTCATTAAATAAGTGGTTAGTATTTGCAGTTGGTTTGTCTTTGTTCCACGTCAATTTTGAACTTTATTTTTGAAATAAAAAGACCAGCCACACAAGTTTATGGTACCATATTTGTGTTATTTTTGTGAAAAAGAGTGCAATACTACTGCTGGACTATCCTTTATCAATTACATGGCAGGCCCCATTTTCCTGATGTAAAATATTGTGTAAATAGTTAACTATTGTATATTGTTTAACGCCTCCCATTCCTCTAGACACACGCTCTGACATCACTGGTCCAGCTTCATACCCCACCAGGAGTGTTTCAAGAGTGTTTTGGTACTCCAGACGCTTTTTTGACTTTCTAAGATTTTGTTCATTTCGGCTTATTCGCCTTTGAGAGCATTCCATTGGAGCAGAAGTTACTGCTGGAAACTCAACCATGCAGTTGTTAATCTATCTTCATTTTAGATCTTAAAATGAAGATAGATTTAGCTACCTGCATGGTTAATTTCTCGCCTCAGATTTTTTCAGAAAGGAACATTTCAGTGAATTAACTGCCATGCTGGTCTAGCTTATAAATCCCAGACCAGAAAGCGCTCCATCCAATCAGGGGCAGCCAGGAAGCGTTTGCATGGTAAGAGAGCAATTTTGTTGGTCAATATGATACAGTGGTCCAAATGCTGGAACGTCCCAAAACGTCCCCCTGGACACATAACCATGATCTTCGGCAGAGAGCCACCTGTTAGACACTATCTGAAACACTGCTGGCATTCCTTGTGGAATCAAGCATTGACTAGAGGGTGGCCGGTGGAATCAAGGTTGCTACCATGCATCCATTAGTACAATACAACAAAAAACATTCTTCAGGATTAACACGTAAAGTTTTCCAAAGACCAAAAGAAGATAATGTTGAAATGAAGTTAACAATTCAATCAAGGTTAAATTACTACCTGTTGATTAAGACACTGCATCCAAAATGACCAAGTAAACAGTGCAAATTGTGCAAAATCCTCTTGGCTAAAAGTGTGAAGCCACCAGTGCACATCCACTGAGAATGGACTTCACAGTAGGAGACATATTGTGTCCAGCAGGAAAACTTTTGCATATTCAGTGATTTTGGAGGTTTTAATGAGGCAGAAGGAGGAGATGATTTTTTAAGGATTTTAATGTGGAAATTCTACTTTATTTTGCAGACACACATTAGTTTTCCAAGCAGACCGTTTGTATATATGTCTTAATACATGTCTGGAGGAGATCTTTGACAGCTGTTGTCATGCTAACGTTACTGCAAGGCAGATGCGTTTTAAAAAAGGGAACAAAACTTTATCTACAATTATTCCACATCTGATGGTTTGATGTCATGATTACTTGTTCAGTGTTGCTCGTTAAATCCCTCAATTTTCCTCTGGCTCCTTCTAGTGCTCCTAATGGTATTTGCAAGAATTCACCGGGCCTGAACAGAAACAACCAATCAGAGCCAAGAATTATAGCAGATTGTTGAGTCTCATTCCCAGGTTGTCAAGTTCCAATAGAGACTCAACTATTTTTAAGCCAACAACCCAAAGCGTCTTTCCATCTTTCTTACCTCTATTTGGTTGTTTTCGTTCAGGCCCGGTGGATTCTTACAAATACCATTAGGAGCACTAGGAGGAGCCAAAGGAACCAGATTTTTACACAGATTATCTGTCTCACGTACTACTGTCAGGATATAGTGAAAAAAATGACAGTTATTTTTATAAAAATGACATACTGCAGCTTTAATGCGGAGAAGGAGAAATGGCCTCAGTCACTGACGGGGGAACAGGACATGCAATAGGAGCTTTTTTTCTAAATGCCTTGCAGTAATATTACTGAGTGATTGCAATAGTTTACACATCAACTCTGTGAATGGTCTGTTACTTCCTGTAGAGATAATGGACCACATATGCAATCCATACATTGATCATTTCCTGTCAATAGTGCACCAGCAGTGGAAAAACTGCATACTGTATGTGTGGGACTGGGTGATAATCATTTTAATGTTTATTGTATTGTAATAAATTGATCATATTGTTGTATATTTTTGAAAATTCTCTTGCCAAAATATTTACAAGCAACTGAAGTAAAAAAATATTTTTACTGATACTTTTACTTTGTAATACACTGTGACAAGTGTAGGTTGTCTTATGTATCAGAGAAATACTCTTCTAAATGATGAATAGCCCTACATATATTTAAAAGCATTTCTTAAAGGTGTGTATTAAATGGGTGAGTCCTCAAACACACCAGTCAAATATCACATTTTTATGTTAATAAAATGATCACTTCTAAATCTCTAAAAATTCCATTTATGTATCATGGAACAGCAGTATAATTATTTTTTTTAGGACACATTTGTCTACTTGAATGTTTGATTTGGAGCCATTTTGTAAATGTATGAGGGAGCAACTTTTGCTTTGTACCGTGTAAAATAATATGCAAGCTCCCATAGTGTTGTCTCTTGATGCATGCCAGCACTTCATAGCACATTGTGACTGAAATGTTCTTAATGAACATTCGAACAAATATTTCATCACTGTATGAAAAGTAAAAGAATAAGGGCTTTCTTTGTAACGTCCTCCCAGTTCATTGCTGATGTTTCAACACCAGTGAGGTGGGAGGACATTTTGGGATTTCAGGGTTTAAATGCTGATTTCTTGTGTAAAGCAGAGAGTGGTTGGTGAGTAGTCGAGATTTGGAGTTTTGTCAGATCTATCTAATATTTTTCCTGTTGTGTATGATATATACAGTAAGGCTCATTTTTTTTCGGTGTTGACCAACTTTCAGAATTCCCGCACTATCAGAAACTGGTGTTGTCTTGCTATAACTAGACACTGGTAGCTGTAATATTTTGGATTTTTTTTTTGTGGGGTGTATTATGTGGGGGATTTTTTTATTTTTTAGATTTTAAATTTCCTAAATATTTTAAAGAATTTTTTAATTTTTTTTGTTCTCTTTTTAAAAAATTAAAAATCTGAAATGATGAGCCCTTATTATATATACAAAAGTTTCATTGTTGTGTCTCCTTGGTCGTTCTCTAGAAGGTGCTGCAGGAATGAGTCCTAAAACCTGGAACTGAGTTAGCAGTTTAGCACTTCTGGTTCCCTCATCTCAGTGTGTTTTTTCTTAATGAGTTTTTGGCTAGATGTCTGAAATAAAGTCTGTGGTTTTTCCGTGTCTTAACAAAGGCGGTTGCTTACAAGTGGCTAAAAGAGACTATTGAGGTTGACTGTTGGTTAGAC